TTCGAACGAATATTTAATGGAAATAGAGAGATATATGAGAAACAATTCATAGTCCTTGAAACAATATTTGATATAGAAAATATAATTTGATGGTTATAGAAGTAACGTTTATATAAGAATCGCTTGTATGAAGTGGTTGTTTTTAATTCTTAATAAAATCTTTTTATTTTTGTAAGATATACATCAGAAATTTTTAATACCATTTATATATAATATTAAACAAATTTGATTACAAAATTGGATTTTAATGCACATGTGAAAATTAAGGAAAATAATAAAAAAAAATAATAATTTTCTCTTATATAAAAAAAAACATACTTTTAGTACATTTATATATTTTTCGGTTAGAATGATTGAAATTTAATCACTTTTAACCGATCACGTATATTTGTTGTGCCCCAAATCAACGATCGGCCTAAATTATCGGCCCAACTTTATAATGCCTTAAGAATTTTCTAGTTTCACATATAGTAAATATTGTGTCATAAATTTTAACGCTACTTGATTTCGAATTAATCGAAAATCGAATCAAATCTATAACGAATCCAAAAATTAAATCCAAAAAATGAATTTTTTTTTGGAATTCATCGAATTATTAAAAGTATTAATGTTAATGAATTAGAGAACTTAATGATTGCTTCCTGAATTCCTGAAAGGCCAAATCTAAATGACAGATGGAATTTCGACTTAGAGTGACAATAAAATTTTATCCACTTGTTTTAATGATTTTTTTTTAAATCATGATCAAAAGATTTTCTCATATGATTTTTCGCGCTTTTATCTGATTAGCAACTATTTTTTCTTTTTTATAAATATAGACTGAATTACAAACTAAAATATAGAATAAAGTATCATAAACGCAAAAAATGTTTTCTTATTTACGCTTGGAGAAAAATTATTGAAATTGATGCCGATCGTCAATTTTTTTTTTATCTAAATTCACATCACGTTCGTTTCTTACAATAAAAAATTTTAGGATAAATAGACACTATTGAAATTTTTTTTTTTTTTACAATAAATAACAATAAAATCACACCGAAGAAAATAGGAATCACAGTGAAGTTTTCATAATGGAAGTTACTCTTTAACCTATATAAAATGGATATTTGGAAATGTTTATTGCATATTTTCTAAAAAAAATTGATGGATTAGGGCAATTTTCATTTTATAAAATTATAATAAAAAATGTTTGTACTTTCTAATAATAGGAACGAAAAATAATTTATAACTGATAAGATCAAATAATGGTCCTATTGAATAATTATGGTTTTATTTATCTCGTTGTGCTTTTTTGTCTAATAATAATTACATTTTCTATTTGCGTTAGATACTGTATGACATAAATTATTAGATTGAAATTGAACAAACTTTTATAAAACTACGAGAGGTTAACCGGTTATCGAGGCATCTTAAAATCATTGGGACCATAATTCTGGTCAGAGCTATATAAATGCGGGCCAGAATTATATAACTGCGGTCGGTCACGTGTTCTCAGATTGGAATGCTAATCAATCGACGCACTTGATACACTTCGTTTCATAGACCGATCTAGGCCTTTCCTTTTTCGGTATAAGATATATGTAGATCACTGGCTAAATATATGTCGCACATATAGCCTTTGGTCGATTGGTTAGCATTCCAAAAATTGGCCGATGAACGAAATTAATGCTCCTCTCTATAACTAAATATGTGAGTAGAATCAAATAGATACAATTTACGGCCAAAAAAAATATTTTTAAATATTTTTAGTATTAACCGGGTAAGGTTTTTTGAACGGTTCCAACCTCTACTACGAAACTATGTTAAATATTTTAGGTATTTAAGAAATCTTAGATTTATCCAATTATTTTTAATGCAACTCAATAATATAATTTATTTAATATCATATTTTAATTTTTGTATAGAATTATATATATATCTATTGTGGACAATCACTATGATACTTATTATAGTAAACCGCTTACGATGCCGATCATTTTCATTTGTAATGAACAAGGCTTGAATGGACTTAAATACTTAAAATATTTTTTGATTATTTCATATTTTTATGTTTATCTAATCTGTTTAACAATATTAAGAACTTTATTAATAGTAAATTATAGTACGCTACAAAATTTAAATTACGATAAACTAAAGTATTCGAAATTTAGCACAATATATAACGGTCTGATAAATAAATTCTTTCATTAATAATTTTATCGTTAAGTTGTGTTTTTTCATCAGGTTAATGATATTACAAGTAATTAGTTTATAAAATATTTTATTCTCAAGGATGATATATCGATTTAGAAGAATAATTGAACGAATTACAATTAACACTAAACCCCCGTAAAAAATTTTATCCGTGAGTAACGGAAATAATATAGAATAAAAAAACCATGAAATAAATTTTTATAGGGTAATTTTCTGAAATCATTTATTTCTTTTCGTCATAGGCAAATTAGAATGTAATTATAATTCATTATCCCTATAAGAAATATGTATACGGAAAGGATACGTTTTGTATACATTTTATGTACGTTTCTATAGTTTCCGTATACAAATTCCGTATATTTAATAAGCAATTCATTTTTGAACATTTTTTAAAAAAACTAATGTATACGGAAAAAATTAATCATACGGAATGTATACGGAATTTTTAAACTTAATATTTTTAGAA